GAGCTCATGAATGGTTGTGTTATGAGTTTGTTTTGTTTATTTTTGGAAATATGAGTGTGTAATCAGTTGCATTAGTGTTCACGAGAGTGTGTGGATGTGTGTGTCGTTTGTCTGTGTGCACTGGTTTGGGAAATTGAGAATGTCCGCTAGCTAGCTAGCTAGCTAACTAGCTAACTGGCTGGCTAGCTAGTTAGCGGACATGAGGTGGTATAACCGTGCTGCTCCTTTCACAGAGTGCTGTGCACGAGACGCCTGAGCCCGCTGACCAGAGTGATTTTGTGTTGCCAGGTGGACCAATAAATGAGAAAATACCATTCTGCCTTCCGACTCATTATTAATAAACACAACGCAGAGTCGAAGGGGTTACATTGGTGCAGTGACCCATTCTTCTACGTGACCGCGGCGGGTTGGGACCCGTCTAATTCCTGGTGGACCGCTGTTGTGGCGCGGAGTCGCGGCGCGCGCCCGGGACAACGACGCGGGACGGGAGTTGGAGTTTCAGGCGGATCATCTTGCCACGGTTGCGCCGCAGACTGGACAACTACGCGCACGCCGTGACGTTTTCACTGTACCGGCGGAGGTGTGGTAATTGGTTTGCCAGTACGTGTATCTGCATTTGAGCCATAAGGTGGTGATATTGCCTCGCAAAAGACTTTAATGTACCCAAGTGTGTTTGACTTAATTCATGTGTTGCTATTGTTCTAAAGACAATGTGATTTTGCGTGATTTTTTCTTTTCTTTTCAATGACAGCTTGGTGAAATTGATATTGAGGGTGAATTTTAAAAAGGGAAGAAGATTGCCATTTTTAGAGCTAGATGTACATTCTGGCTCTGATTTCATTTTCTACTTGAGGCAAGAAATACTTTTTTTAAATGTGTGATTAAGTGGGTTTGGTCACTGAATTTTTTTTTCTTATTGTGGGTATTTGAGCTATCTCTCCCAGTACATTATTTTTGTCCTGCATTTTATGTTATCTATCTTGTTGCTTTGTTAGAGTCCTAGACATGGAAAATACACCTGTTTTTGGTAGAGGGAGGGGTTCTGTGAGTTTCACCCCTATACCATCACTTGGAAGGGGCAGAGCAAGACTTCTGCTTACTCCGGCTTCGTCTACTCCCAATCCTGGTTTTGATCATTTTAAGTTTGATGATAATATTGCTAAAGAACCACCCCAGTGTGATCCACACACTCAGAAACTGCAGGATGAGAGTGGGGCTGACAAACTCCTGACTGGCATTGCATCACAGATTGGGCTCTCTATAGGTGAAAGTATAGCCTCTTGCATTGAATCCCGCTTAGGCTGTGGGGCTGTGAGCAATGCAATGGCGGATTCTTCGCTGTTGAACGTGGTAGTGAGGCCTGATGTTAAAGAGCCAGTGAGTTTTAAAGGGGATGGAAACGACACACACTCAGTTCAGGAGTGGGAAACACTGATGATGACTTACATGAAAAAGAAAGGAATTCCTGTTGCAGGCACGATAAGTCCCCGAGGGAAAGGAAGAAAGAAGAAGGTTCAAAGGAAACTAAGTGCTGAGGACTGGACTGATGAGTGCAAACAAGCTTTTCACCAGCTTAAGCAGGCTCTGCTGGCTCAAGTACCGTTAGCTCACCCGAATTTCAGTGAGCCTTTTCCGCTTTCAGTGGATGCTTCCACTAATGGTCCCGGTGCTGTACTGTCGCAGGTTCCTGCTGATGGATCAACTGCTAGGCCAATCGCCTTTGCTAGCAAGTCTCTCTATCATGCACAGTCCAGATATCCTGCACACAGGTTAGAGTTTTTCGCATTGAAGTGGGCAGTGTGCGATAAGTTCCATCATTGGTTGAGGGGTCACCGGTTCACGGTGTGGACCGACAACAACCCTCTGACCTACATCCTGTCAAAGGCCCGACTGGACGCCTGCGAGCAGAGATGGATTGCTAAGCTTGCGCCATTTCAGTTCGACATTAAATACATACCTGGTCCCAGGAATGTGGTAGCTGATGCCCTCAGCAGAGAGCCCTTTGTGCAGCCCAGCACTTCAAATCGTTTNAGTGTTTTCTGTAACTCTCAGTCAGACTTCTGCACCTGTTGACAGGTATTTAGATTTTGGTCAAAGTGCTCTGATTTGTCTGGCAAAGTTTATTTTTTTAAATTATTCTTTTCAACCACAATTCAAAAGCAATGTCTTATTTCATTACAATATAATTTAGCAAATTTTTATTTATTATTAATTTTTTCAGTTTCTAGTTATTTGAGTGACTATTGTGAGTTTTGCCTTTTCTTTAATGGAAGGGTATGAATAAATCTGAGACCGACTGTACTTGGTGTACTTTGGTTGTAGCTGATTTGTACTGAAGCTCTGAGGACTGCCATGAATCTACAGACATACAGCCTCTTTGTTTTGCTATGTTTGTGTTTCTTTGGCTTACCTTCTTCATTTATGGACTTATGCATCCCTGGATCACCAGCAACTTTTGAGTTTCATCATCATTTCAGTCGTCATCATCAACTACAGCAAAATAAAGTGGATATTTACCAGTTTCCAAAGTGCCAGGTTGTACTTTAGAGCCCTCTAGTGTAGCTGAAGAAGAAGAACGTGGCACTGAGGGGGAAAGTCCTCTTGTGACAGGGAAGAGCTAGATCACCATTCGTAGAGGATGTGTGATCAGCTGATCAGTGTTGACTTTGTGCACCGCTTTGCTTTAAACGTTTTTTCTTCTTGTAATTGTAAAAGGCTCCAACACTTTCTCCGCTACTGTCTAATGTTCTTGTGCATTACTTTATCACCACCTTGGAGGTCACCTTCATGGCGCCTCATTTCGCCCTCACCTTTTGTACTTCCTCCTGGGCCTGGACACCTGGAGATTCCTGAGCAAGAATAGCCTCTACGTGGTCATCAGCAATCTGTGGCAACAAGAAATACACGTCAGCACAATGTCAGGACATCACAGACCTGCAGGAGTGATTCATAGTTTGAAGTAATAAGGCTCACCACTTACCTTAGTGGTGTCTGTGGAGCCTGTAGGGGAGGCCTCAATCTCCTTCAGTGTTTTCAGGTTAATTTCAAAATCCTGTTTATCTCAAACTACTCTATCCCTGTTCTTATCTCACATCCATCTAAGCGTATTCCCATATAACCCAAGGTAAATCTGTTCAATTGGAGTATATTTAGCGTCCGAGCACTCCAGTGCAAGGACCCTATTGTAACCGTTGTGATTATTATTAGGGTCCGAGCACCCAAAAGGGTGCGAAGACCCTATTGTAACTGCTCGGATTATTATTATTATTTGTGCCAAAGACACGTGTTTTTAAGGCCCTAAACATACTCGAAAACTCACCAAAATTGCCATGTACATCAGACCCGGTGAAAAATTTTATAATTTGGAAAAACAATACACATTTCACTAGAAAAATTGCTCCACAGCACCACCTGGGATTTGAACTCATGACCTCCACATTGGGCCTGTAGCCCTACACATAGGACGCCAGCTCAACCAGGTGAGCTATAACAGCAGCCCTATAGCATGGCTTTTTCATTTCACGCCAAAACTCAAAATGACTTTTCTTTGTGAAATACTTTCCTGAGGTGATTTCTACGACATGCATNCAATATTGATGTTTAACATGTTTGAATCTGTGCTGCATATGAATCCTGTGTTTTGGCTGCAGTCTGCTGTGCCTGCAGTCCAGAGTATCAGAGTTAATATATAACAGGGAGCAGCTGAAGAGCGCTGCCTCGAACAGATCATCTGTTGTTTGGAATTCGCCCCTGGTAGGGTCTCCCAAGGCAAAATGGTCCTGGGGGAGGGACCAGACATAGAGCGATTCATAAAAGCCATGGTGGCATAGACCAGTTGGGGGAACGTCACGTCACTGGTCGGGCAGGAACCTGAGCTGGTACAGAAAGTGAAAGTGAAACCAACTAGATATAGTTCCACACGAAGAAGGGTTGGACTCTCACCCTTTCCGGAGTTGCCCAGGATGAGAGGCACCGGGTGGGTGTGGGAATACTGACAACCCCTCCCCCCAGCTGAGTGCTGCTGCTCAGCAGAGACCTGAGCCAGGCATCACAGTTGAAAGTGACTTCACAGCGTCAAGACGTGAGCCCTGGTAGGCATCATGTGACATCTGACAACATTGTTGTGCAGCCACCAGTCTCTGTTTCAGTTCCATCTCCTGTTAAGCAGGCAAATGAACCTCCTGATCGCATTGAGCGCCTCATAGCTATGCTGGAGCACGTTTTGGAGCAACAGCCAAGACAGACTGGATTGTTTAGCATGACCAATGGGCAGCCTCGTCGGAGCCAAGCGAACAAATCCAGACCTGTTGTTCTTTGTGACATTTGTGGGGATGTTGAACACACCACCTATTATCACTGTAGGACCAATCACCTGTGCTTTGTCTGCTATGCAGCTGGTCACACACGTGCTGAGTGTCCCAGGACCGTTGCCACCAGACCCAAGGATTCTAAGCGCAATGCCCAGCTTGAGGAAAACTAGATGGCCTGAACTGTTCTATGAAAATGTAACACTGGGTGGTAAAGTGTCAGTCAGGGCTATGCTTGACAGTGGGTCTATGGCTTGCACCCTGAGCTCGAGTGTTGTGCCTCAGTTGTTACAGGAAGCTGTGTTGAAGACCACCGATTTGGAACCCACTGATGTCATTTTGATTGGCTGTGGTGGGTCAAAGACGACACCATCGGGCATGTGTGATCTGGAAGTGGAGCTTTATGGCTGTAGGGTGGTCGTGCCAACCCTGGTGGTTGATGGTCAGAGCGACGATCTCATCATCGGTAGCAACCTTCTGAGGTACTTGGTTGACAACCTGAAGCTGGATAGCAACTTCAACTCACACACAAGTGAATGTGACTCCCAGAAAAGACTTCTGAACCTAATGGCTGGGGTACAGGAGTGTAATGAGGACCTTCCAGACAAAGTGGGGACTGTTAAGATCAAGAGAGCAGTTACGCTGGAGCCTATGTCTGAGCACTTGGTGTGGGGCAAGCTGCAACAATGGAGTGGTGATCTAGCTGGGAGTGAAGTCATGATGGAACCTACGAGTGCAAGGTCAAGGCCTAGATCGGTGATAGTCGGAAGAACTGTGGGTGTGCTACTAGATGATGGATGGCTGCCACTGAAAGTGATAAATCCTTCTGAGAGGCCTGTCACGCTGAAGCGGAATGCTAAGCTGGCTGACGTGCTTTCATGTGTGGCACTGGAGAGCTTCAGCGGCAGCAGAGATACCAGCGACCCACAGCCTAGTGTGCAGCAAAATGTGCAACTTTCAACTGCTGATCCTGTCTGTTGCCATGGGGAGCAGAGCCTGGTCTCAGAGGCCTCCACGCTGCCTGACCATCCCTTGCCTGACGAACCCAGTAGCCAAACTGACACACTGCATTCAATGTTGCGCAACATTGGACTGGCAGACATAAACATCGACTCGTGTGAAGTGTCACCTGCCTGTAAAGAGAGACTAGTTAGCCTTGTTGAAGAGTACCAGTCCATCTTTTCAAGGGACAAGTTGGACTGTGGCAAGGCTACAGGATGCCTTCACCGTATTCGGGTTGTGGATGAGAAACCCTTTCGCCTGCCCTGTCGCAGGATGCCGCCTACTCAGTATGAGAAACTGAGACAGACGCTGGATGAGATGGAAGAGCAAGAAATCATCAGGAAGTCTAGCAGCGAGTTCGCATCACCATTGGTGCTAGTCTGGAAGAAATCAGGTGATATAAGGATTTGTAATGATTTCCGCTGGCTCAATGCTCGAACCATCAAGGACGCTCATCCTCTTCCTCATCCAGCTGATGCTCTGGCAGCTTTGGGTGGTAACGCCTATTTCTCAACAATGGATCTGATTGCAGGTTATTACAATGTTGAAGTGCATGAGGCAGACAGGAAGTATACGGCATTCTCGTCACCATTTGGGTTGTATGAGTATAACCGAATGCCTCAGGGACTGTGTAACAGTCCTGCTACCTTCATGAGGATGATGCTAAGCATTTTTGATGATCAGAATTTTCTCAGCTTGTTGTGTTATCTGGATGATGTCCTGGTGTTTGCCCCAACAGAAGACTTGGCTTTGGAGCGGTTGGAGATGGTTTTCCAGCAGCTCAAGGCTCATAACCTCAAGCTTGCTCCAAAGAAATGCCATTTCCTCCAAAGGTCTGTGAGATTTCTCTGACATATTGTCAGTGCTGATGGCATTATGTCTGATCCAGATAAGGTGTCTGCCATCACGTCCTTGACTGAGTCAGACCTCATGGAGCAAGGCACCAACATTCCCTCACAGCGCAAAGTTCATTCATTCCTTGGAATGGTGGTGTTTTACCAACAGTTCATTGAAAACTGTTCCTCCATTGCCAAACCACTATTTGGGCTGACTACAGGCATGATGAGTCCCCGAGGGAAAGGGAGAAAGAAGGAGGTTCAAAGGAAACTAGGTGCTGAGGACTGGACTGATGAGTGCAAACAAGCTTTTCACCAGCGTAAGCAGGCTCTGCTGGCTCAAGTACCGTTAGCTCACCCGAATTTCAGTGAGCCTTTTCTGCTTTCAGAGGATGCGTCCACTAGTGGTCTTGGTGCTGTGCTGTCGCAGATTCCTGCTGATGGATCAACTGCTAGGCCGATCGCATTTGCTAGCAAGTCTCTCAATCATGCACAGTCCAGATATCCTGCGCACAAGTTAGAGTTTTTCGCATTAAAGTGGGCAGTGTGCGATAAGTTCCATCATTGGTTGAGGGGTCATCGGTTCACGGTGTGGACCGACAACAACCCTCTGACCTACGTGCTGTCAAAAGCCCGACTGGACGCCTGCGAGCAGAGATGGATTGCTAAGCTGGCTCCATTTCAGTTTGACATTAAATACATTCCTGGTCCCAGGAATGTGGTAGCTGATGCCCTCAGCAGAGAGCAGCCCAGCACTTCAAATCGTTTGACAAGAATGCCCTATGAGGATCTGCTGGCCGAAGCTGCAGCGGTGTGCCCACATGGTGTTCAGGAAGTGTTTCGTCGTTCTGCTCACCCAGCTGACGTGGCTCCGGAATGTGGTCAGCCTGTCATATCACAGTGTGCTGCCTTTGTTCAAGGTGGAACTTTGTCATCACAGGAGGTGGCAGCTGTTTTTCATGCACATAGCCAGCGAGACTCATGTGTGTCCCCACATGCTCTCTTGTTGCCTCAATTCTCTCAGACTGTGTTGGCCTCAGAACAGGTTGGCTCGGAGGTGTTCTCGCATGATGTACTGGTGGAGAAGCAGCGATGTGACAACGTTTTAAGTCGTGTAATCTTTTATGTGGAGAGAGGACGGAGACCGTCAAGAAGGGAACGTGTAAAAGAACCAGTTGAAGCAGTCAAGCTACTTCGAGGTTGGGACAGGTTGGCCATGAAGGATGGTGGGCTGTATCGTGTTGTGAAGAACACTATAGCGAAGAGGAAGTGTTACCTGTACATTGTCCCTGCTGTACTGCGCTCCAAGGTCTTGAAAGGTGTCCATGATGAAGCTGGCCACCAGGGGCAGCAGCGAACATTGTATCTTGCAAGGCAGAGGTTCCATTGGTTGGGCCTGAGTAGGGATGTGGCAGAGTATGTGCGGTGTTGTAGACGGTGTGTAGTGAGCAAATCACCAGAGCCTGAAGCTCGAGCACCCTTGGAGAACATCAGAACATCGGAGCCTTTGGAACTAGTCTGCATTGACTTCTGGTCTGCAGAGGATTCGGCCAACAGGTCTCTGGATGTGCTTGTGGTCACAGACCATTTTACCAAGATGGCACATGCCTTTCTGTGTCCTAACCAATCTGCGAAAGCTGTGGCACACCAACTGTGGCACAACTACTTTTGTATCTATGGCTTCCCCAAACGTCTGCACTCTGATCAAGGAGCCAAGTTCGAGAGCGCCCTGATAGCTGAACTACTAAGTGTGGCCAGAAGTCCCATACCACGCCATATCACCCAATGGTAAATGGATCCTGTGAGAGGATGAACAGGACATTGGGGAACATGATCCGTGCGTTGCCACCCAGGGCGAAGCAAAAGTGGCCTGGAGCTTTGAAGTCCCTCACATTTTCTTACAACTGTACGGTCCATGAAACAACAGGCTATGCACCGTTTTTGCTGATGTTTGGGAGAGTGCCAAGGCTGCTCACTGACATTATCTTCGGCTCCGTCATTAATGACCCGGAGGTCGCAGACTATGATCGATACATCCAGTCACTGCGAAAGGACCTTAAAATGGCTATGGACATAGCACAGACTGTGGCAACCAAACAGTTGAAGCGGCACACTGAGCTGTATAACCGAGAGGTGAGGGGGGCACCGGTGGAAGTAGGTGACCGTGTGTTGCTTGCCAACAAAGGAGAACGTGGCAAGAAGAAGCTGGCTGACCGCTGGGAAAACGCCATCTACGTGGTAGTTAGTAAGAGTGATGAGAGTCACACTTTTAAGATCCAGCATGCCACCACTGGTAAGATGAAGGTCGTGCATCGCAACCTGATAATGCCAGTGAACTTTCTCCCCTTGCATGATGTTGCTCCTCAGAATGAGACTCAAGTGTCTGCAGTATCCAGCTCAGTGGATCTTGATGATGAGAGAGAGTTGCCTGCTGATGTCTCTGTCGAGTCTGCAGACTATAGGACAAGAGTGTGGGTGTCTGTCCTGCCATCTGAGAGTTCAGAGAATGCTGGGCAGCTTGGGGATGTGGAGGTTGTTGAGCAGTCTGACCTGGCTTCTGTCCTGCCTACCTGTGTTAGTCCGGCTGAGACAACTGTTAACCAGTCATGCCTTGGTCTCTCACAGCCTGACCTCTCCACGGACATGGTTGGGGCAGCTGATGCTGGTAGTACTGAGCCTGACCTTAGCTTAGCCGGATCTGACAACTCACCTGACCCGTTTTCACACACAGAGACTAGAGTTTTGACTGACACAGTTGCGGGTATTAGGGATGTAGAAGTTAGCAGTCGTGTGAGATCCAGAGCAGGTAGATTGTTGAGACCTGTTACGAGACTAATCGAGATGATGCACCAGAGGACAGGGGGGATATCATAGGTGATGTTACATGGGTACGGTGTTCATTAGTCTGCATTTTTGCTGGTATGTATTTACAGATGTATTGTTTTTTTTATGAGATATTTCATGTAAGAGATGGGTTTTATGGAATCTCCTGTGTTTTCTTTTCCTATATTGAGGTAATTTGCAGTTACAGTGTATATGAAATATGTAACAGGCATGTTTTTTCCTGTGTGTGTTAGAGAGGTCTGGCCAACTTCTTTTCACACTGACTTTTCTAAGAGTAGTATTATTACTGGGTGTCTGTGACTGTAATTTTCTGAAACTGTCCTCATTTGAAATGAATAGGATTCATATTTTATGACAATGTTTTTCTTTTCTGTGTTTTGGTGACTTGCTTGCTGTTAGGGTTCTTGTGCCTGGCATGGTTGTCTGTTTTGCTGGTAAAAATTTTTTTCTTTCTTTTTTTTCTTTCAATTGGGTGCAAGTGGAATTTAGCAGGGGGGAGTGTAACAGTATGTATGTGTGTAATTCTGTAATTCCACTTGCTGTGATTGGTTGTCGGCTCAGTGGCGCCCTCTCGGGAGCTGTGGTGTGTCACGTGTGTCGCGCCGTCAGTTCCCGAGAGGCGTGCATGAGGTAGGTTGCGGAGCACAGCACCAGCTCATGAATGGTTGTGTTATGAGTTTATTCTGTTTATTTTTGGAAATATGAGTGTGTAATCAGTCACATTAATGTTCACAGGAATGTGTGGATATGTGTGTCGTTTGTCTGTGTGCATTGGTTGGGGAGATTGAGAATGTCCGCTAATTAGCTAGCTAGCTAGTTAGCGGACATGAGCTGTTATAACCGTGCTGCTCCTTTCGCAGAGCGCTGCGCACGAGACGCCTGAGCCCGCTGACCAGAGTGATCTTGTGTTGCCAGGTGAACCAATAAATGGGAAAATACCGTTCTGCCTTCCGACTCATTATTAATAAAACAAACACAACGCAGAGTCGAAGGGGTTACACTAGTCCAGCTTTAAGACGTTCTCAAGAACATCTTAAAGAAAGAAAAAGTGAAACCATGGTGTCAAGGTTGTCTTGAAGAACCAAAAAGAGAAGTCCACATTTACCAAAACGACTTCAACAACCAAAAAGAGAAGTCCACATTTACCAAAACGACTTGAACAACCAAAAAGAGAAGTTCACTCTGAGTCCAGTCCAGTCTTAAGATGAAGTCCAGTTGCCTTCCACTGAAGCTCTTAGGATACAATGACCTAGATGACTGAGACTCTTTTATTTTTGGTTCTTGAAGACATTTTGAACATCTACTGGAACTCTTGTAACAGATGCCAACTACCTTCTCCCCTCCCCGTGTGTCATCAGTAATAAATAGAGAGCGTACCTCGTCTCTGTCGATCTGAGCGGTGTGGTCGTCCACCGGCTGGTGCAGGAGGATCGTCTGCTGCTGGTGGAACGTCCGAGTTTGGAGGTTCTGCTCCTCCTGCAGGTCCTGGTAAGCCTGTGTCAGCTTACGGCGGGAGGCCTGGTTCTCCTCGTCGATCTGCTGCTGGATCCTCCTCTCTCGTTCCAGCTGGGCCTGCCGCCTCCTCTCCTCCTCCTCTCTCCGCCGCCGCTCCTCTTCCTGCCGTTTCTCGCGTTCGCGCTGCTCTTCCTCTTCCTTCTCCTTTTCCTGTCGCTCCTTCTCTCGCTGCTCCTCTTCGAGTCGGGCTGCAGGAGAGTGATGATAAATCTAACATCTGCTTTTATTTGAACCCTTTCAAGTTTTTCCTCACTGTGGCTCATTTTTCACTGAACAACATGAAGGGGAGAGAACTTGCATTCTGGTATAGTCACAAAACAATTCTAAACGTTTAAAAAAGATCATTCTGTATAACTAAACAAATCTATTAATTTGAGACCAAACTGTCAAAATCCATCCATCCATTATCTA